AGTGTGTGTGTGTGTGTGTGTGTGTGTGTGAGTGTCTGTGTGTGAGTGTGTGTGTGTGTGAGTGTGTGTGTGTGTGTGTGTGTGTGTGTGTGTGTGTGATATCTGACATTTGAGCAGTTGAGGAACCGTCACACAGGCTACTCATATTCAAGCATATTATTTCAAATTATTTTAGCTAATACTGTTTTAATGCATGCATTGAGAATTGGCTACAAAAACAAAATAAAGTAACCATCAATTAATTGTGAAAACTAATAAAAATGTGCTTCGCTAAAGGGTTGGTGACCAATAAAAAGAATCTGAATCTTTTTAGGTAAAGTAATCATTGCCAACAAACAAACAAATAAATCAGCAGGCAATCTTCATCATGGCCACCCCATGTTTTTGACATTAATATGCCTATAATAAGTCAGACAATGATACAAAGTTCTGTTCCAGTAGATGTAGATGCAAGACAAACATGACAACAGTTTAGAGATTGTTTGCTCATTTCAGTAAAGTCGAGCATCATGCGTGTTTATGAAGGTCATCTGCGCAGCCTCAGATCAAGGAGCGTTTAATATGTCCAGCTCCATCTCACCAGAGAAAACAAGAGCAAACATCAGCTCAATCATCTGCTTCTGATTATGAATGGAAAATCCAGCCGTGGAAAAAATCCTCAATGTTGTATTAAGAAAAAAAATCACCAAACTCACGTAGAATCTGAGTCCATGTCCACTGATGCCCTTCGCATGAAAAGACACACTTAAGATACTGAACATGTCAAAAAAACATGAAGAAAGAGCTGTACAATTAGATGAAAACTCCCATCGGTCTGATTGACAGGCTGCAGCAGTGAAGAAGAGTCATATCAGCAAAACCACATTTAAATCTAATCAGACTGCGTTTCTACGCCTGTAACAGATGCAACTCAAGAAATGACACGGTGCTGCTGACCAACACGAGACGAGAGACCTACTGTCTCATCTTCAGCAAAACATCCGTCTCTAAAGCTCATGCACAGAAGAAGAGTCTGAGAAAACACTTGCTCTTTCTATGAAAGAAGTCTCTGATGTTGTGGGAGAAGACATCAGATTAAATCACCAATCACAGTCATAGAGTCATCATCTGTGGCTCCTGGACCTGATTTCCCTTTGCTTTATCTGCTGAATTGCTTTATATGATCTATTTTCACACAACCAGAACATTAATAGGTCTTTCCCAGCAGTTTATAGCAATAAGTTGATATTTTCCACACGTGTGATAGATGGATGTCTAATATAACAGCATTATCCAGCGATCGATGTAAAAGAGCTCCAGAATAAGATCTGCTGGTGTTCTTCACTGAAGCAGTGATCTACAAGAAGTCTTGGTTTTCTTGTCTGATAAGTCCGGAGTGAATTCTCTGGAGCAGTGCAGTGAACGTGAGTGTTATTCAGAGAAAAGCAGCAGCAGTCAGTCATCCGCGAGAGCTTTCTCTTCTCATGTCCCTGCACTGTTTCTCACACGCATCGCTGGGGAAGCAGCACTCTCTGAGCTGCAGGGCTTCATCTTTACACATTTCCTTGAAGCCAGTGCATCAACACAAATATCTCTACATCTTACATCTTTGTGTCATCCTGCATCCGATGCTCCAGAGCTTTTGCTTTTGCTCTAACATTATAGTTTGGCTGCATCAGACTCACTGTAAGAGAATCAGAGCTCAATCACAGACAGTTTAAAAGGAATAAGCTGACGAACTAAATTTGATTAAATAAAAAATAATAAAAATAAATAAATACAATTGTATTTAAATAATAAATAAACATACATATTAAAATAAATAAATAATTGATTAAAATGATCAATTACTATAACATGTAAAAAAAAAAGTATAAACTAAACATTTTCCTAATAATATTTTACACATATTAATAATATTATTTTTCCCCACCGTTTTTATATATGAACATACTTCATTATATTATCAGTGTGTGTATATTATTAATGTTATATTATCAGTGTGTAATATGAACATACATGAAATGCAGAACTCATTCATAAAAGCAAGTGCAGTGATCTGATGGAGTGGGGAAGAGGAACAGACAGACTCAGTCAAACTGTGGTCAGATTATTGATAATAATCATAATTTAGAGCGATCAGAGTGCAGGAGGTTTCCTGAAACTCAGTTCGGCCAAATTTGTACTGACTTGAAAATATAATATTTAGTATTTATGTATTTCTTTTTGATATTACATCCGTTTATGAGTCTTGATGCTGCAGCATTTCACCAAAATAAGGACATTTTAATAATAATAAATAAATCCCCAGTGTTGCCCCTTCCATTTGATTTTTTTCTTCTTCACTGAATTAAAAAATACAAACCAATTCAGTAAGTTCACAGGAAGTTTAACAAAAAACCTAAATCAAAATAAGGGTACAATAGTCACTACATATAAAATATACAATTCTAATTAAAGGGCTGCAAATACATATAATAAATTCGTAAATTCAAATTTAACAGTTTTTTTTTATTTGAAATACATTTCATAAACAAATATACAATTTTTACAAAAAACAAAAACAGAAACAAAACAATAATATACATTTTTTCTTTTTGAAATGTGTGAAGTGGTGTAAATATGCTGCTAGATTTAGAGCTGGTTTAATTTGACATCTCGTAGAGAAATAAACGTAGTCTGTCTCTTTAACCCTCGGCTCCTCGCTGCACTTCCGGTCTGAGCTGTCAGCTGACAGGCGCATGAGACTCGCGCCGTGCGCATGCGCAGAGCCCCGCTGGAGGCAGATGGCGGCGTCATGAGTGCTGTGACTGAGGGAAGCGCTTTCGGTTCGGTTCTGGATCACTGAGCTGCAGCACCGCGCGTAACGGAGGCCGGCGGGCCGAGCGACGCAACCGAGCCGCTTCTGACAGCACAGATCCCGGTAAAGCACAGCGGCGAGCTCCGTCTGTGAGGCGAGGCGAGGTGAGGCCAGCGCCGCCTGACAGAGACTCCAGCACACCGCGGTTACAGCGAAATACCTCAAAACACTGCTGTAACACCTCATAAATCTTTAATACCGCATAACAACACTTTAACACCTCATAACACGAGACATAACAGCACTGTCAAGCCTCGCATCACTACTGTGGCGCTTGACAATCTATAATTGCAGTGCTGATCTTTCTGTAACACTGGTTATTATTAGAGTCATGTTTTATTTCATAATAGCGGTTTGATGTGGCGATATCTCTATTAAATGATGACTGACATGTATCTATTCGTGATGTATTGCGTATAGTTGGAGTCTCGCGTCGTTCCACACAATGGAAACGTGGATTGCATGAATCCTGAGTTTGATCATGAGTCTGAGCACTGCTTCCGTGTTTCAGTGTTTAATGTGTTTAATGTGTTTAATGTGAAGTGGTGCTGTCTTGCTCGGATCATGCTGTGCTGCTTAAACGGGAAGAATTCAGTGTAAATGTGGTCAGATGTCAGTCACAATTACAGCAGAGGGAGTAACCCTTACAAAATCTGATTTCTGATCAAAATGACCATTATTATTTGAAAGTTATATGAAATCTACATGACATTTGAAATGCGTCTAACATCAGAAAAACTTTATATTTACTGTATAATTAAATATCATCTTTCAGTAGATGCTGCACACGTGTTTGTACATGTTTTTTTCCCTGGCACTTTTTTTGTACTGCATTACATCATGGTCACAAGACCTTTATACAGTTTATATAAATATTGCATTGTAAATATTTGACAAACATAAATAGATATTGTCATTGTTATATAATTAAAAAGTATCTTTTTTACCGTTTATAATTTTGTTAGCTTTTGTATCTGCTGTCTGATATACAAACTAGTTAATGATCTTTTGATTATTAATGAGAGTTTGTCTCATTGTGTGTAAAGAAGAAAAGTAACTCGTAGCTGCGCAGCTGCTGCTTTTGTGCTGAGAGAGACTGCAGATGCATGTAGTTCTAGCACTCATGCACTGACCCCACAAACCTGATTAATGCGGAGCTAGGCTGCATGTGTGTACAGTAATGTTAGACAGGATTCAGCGCAGGGCAGCCACTATTACTATAGTTTGTTTTAGCTTGGTTTTTCAGTTTTGTAATCATCTTTTTTAAATATCATTATTGTTTGTGTATTGTTTGGTGTGAGTAAGGGCAGCTGTGTGTTTTCTGAGGCTTGAGCACATGACCTGGTCATCCTCTGGACACTCTGGAGACGAGACACTATAACATGCGGCTCACTGCTGGACCAGTTAATAGTTAGACAACTCAGAATTTATGCCGTTGCTTTATTTTTCATTTCATTTTCGCTACATATCAGGCATTGAAATTATCTAGTATTTATTTATTTATTTATTTTACTTTGTGTTTTAGATTGCATTTAAGTTCTATTCCTTTTCCTTGGTTAACACAGTTCCTGCAAAAATGCCTTCTAATAAATAATAATAATAATTTATTAAATATCCCTAATAAATTAATTTGGAATTTCCTTCAAACATTGTATGAAGCTTTCAGACATTTTTTATTATTATTATTATTATTATTATTAAAACTTTTTTCTTATTGTTTTAATTATTTTTGGGTTGCATTAGTCCCACTTTCATTAAAGATGGTTCTTTATTTCAGTATAGATCTGAGATGAGTTTAGTCAGAGTTAAGAATTTCTATGTGAATGTGAGAGAGAGTGTGAGTGTGTGTGAGAGTGTGTGTGAGAGTGAGTGTGAGA